ATTGTCCTTTATTTTCATTAAGTTCATTTGTAAGCTTAGTCACCTTCCCCTCTCTATCTCTCTCCCACGTCTCTCTCTCTCCTTCTCTACATCTCTCCTTAAGTGATTTCGTAATGCCAAGATCCTGTAAATTATTATGCCTTTTAATCCTGTACCATTTGAAAAATAAAGTGCTAGTGTGGCGTGTTCTATTATTATTATTATTGTTCCCTTAGGTTCCTAGTGGAACATAGAGCTTCAATTGCACGACCCCACTTGCCACTTCTGTCTTCTTCTGCTGTACTTTTCATCTGCATCCAGCCATACTGTTTCAACTCCTCTTCACACCATCTCCTCCATGTCACCCTTGCACTGACGTCCCACTCGCCGCTTCCCTTTCGGCCTGGTTCCACTCAAGTAATGGTCTGACGCGCGCGCAGTGTCACCCAGTGGCCTCCTTAGCGAGCGAGTATCCAATCCATCTCCACTTTCTCCTGCATATTTGTCGCTTGGCGATTGGTTTGTTCTTTTTTGTTTGTTCCTATAGTTTCTTGTTGGTGGTGATTCTTTCCGAACCGGCCATCTGATCTTCAGTATAGATCCAGCGAAGACATTTGTTGGTTGATGAAGGTCTGCAACAGGCTGTTGGAAATATTCTTCGTGACCCACCTGCCAAGTTTCTGATCCGTATAGAAGAACTGACTGACTTGATGTTTGTATTGAAAATCCGATCGAATTTTGTTGTTGATGCTGGCAGAGTGACGAAGATTTCCAGATTGGTTTGAGGTTGATGAGTGTGTTTCTCACTCGCCTTCCCGATTCTCGCTCGATTTGATATCCTTGTCTGTTCCGACTTCCTTTAGTTGAGACAATTCTTCCTAGGTAAGTGAGTGAATGAAGTAACCTCTTTGAAATCCCTCCCGTTGATGGTGATTGGCTCTGGATGTTGCTGTTGTTGGTTGGTTGGTTGGTTATTTTCATAACCTCCGTCTTGTCTATGTTCACTTGGAGTCCTGTCTTCACCGGTTGCTTCTTCGACCAGTTTTTCGGTCGGTTTTTGCTTATAAGTGTTCGATTTTGTGTGACATCAAGCATAAATCATCCAGGCGCGAAATCCAGGTCTTCTAGGTTCTTCACGTCGGTCCAGGATATCCCTATCCGTTTCTCGTTTCCCACTGTCTGACGCATAATCCAGTCAGTCCACCACAATTAGGAATATCATTGGTGATAGATAATAAGCACCCTTGTCTGACTCCTGTGTTTACTCCAAACGCCTCACTGATTTTTCCGTTGTGGATCACTTGACATGTTCCGTTGTCGTACAGCGGTTGGATAAGATTGATGAATATTTGGGGTACGCCGTAGTACTCGAGTAATTTCCAAATTACTTCGCGGTCAACGCTGTCGAAGGCCTTCTCAAAGTCTGTGAAGTTGAGGTAGATGCTTGATTGCCATTCCATGCTTTGTTCTGTGATGATGATGCGTAGAGTTGCAATTTGATCAGAACATGATTGTGGCGTGTTCTACTGACGAGATTTTCTAAGTAGTATATTGAGTGTGTACGATTTCCTGTACAGGAATATTAAATAATGGAGTGACGGTTTAAATGCCGAGGAGAAAAATTGAAAGATCCTTATGAAACAAAATAGAAACTATGAAAGGAAGATAAAAAGAAGCACAATATGGAGAACATGAGGAAATGTTGATTTTAATGTAAGAGTACACGTATTTTGTCATAGCTGTACATCAATTTGCCAACTAAAACAACTTTGCTACAAAATACTACGGTGTTCTGTTGTTACACTAATGTAAAGAAACTTATTTATTTATTAACTTGGTTACGATGGCTTTAATTCCATACAGACTAAATAAGATAGGGAGCAGTCAGTGTTATGGGTGTAGTCCTTGGTGGTTTGCAATATGGTTACCAAACCAAGTGCTGTGAATTGATGTGGCATGCTTGAAAGCCATCAGAAGGAAGCTCTAGATTTGGGTCTCACGCTAGTTAGCACTCATCTACAAGGCGTATATGATATCTCTAAGACATTGATGTCCATTGGGAGATTCGAAATCTCAGTACTCGGTGCTGTAGTCAACCAATGTATCCACAACAGTCCTTTAGGAAGCCAATTATAAACTGGAATAGCTCTATGGTTTCGTCTCTAGCTGTTGCACTGGGTGAATCGGGTTCTAATCTCAGAAAGGACATCAGTTCCTTCGAAACTGGTGATGTACATTGCTGAGGAGCGTAATCAAGCACGAAACCTAGGAACAAGGCTTCCTTCTGAATGCCATCAGCTATCAAATGTACATATATCTGAAGAGTACATCTCACATACCATCACAAAAACGTTCAATTTATTTATTTATCTTGAGAATACGATCGAATTCGTTTTGTAAAATTATAGATGTTTCACAAACCTGAAAGTTCGGCGAATTCATTTGCTGGTATAAAGGAATTGCCATCAATGTAAACCACATTTAACACGTTAGGTTCTGAGAGTGTTAATTCAGAGTTCCAATGATGAGAAACCATGCATTATTTTGATAGTCATCGGCAAGGTGTATTTGAAACGCTTTGGAAAGCAATTTTATAAACTTGTAACATTAATCTCTATGATTAAGATTACAATTTACTATTTGTTGTCTAGATTGAAAAGGGTCTTCTAATGACTGACTTCTACATTTTTATACTAAATTACAGTCCATCATGGTGTCTCTTTGTCTAGTAATCACAATGCATATATGTGTGATCGGTAAACTTACATCAACATTCAATTATCAGTTTGTGTATAACCTCCAGTCTGTAATTTGCACACCTTTTCTAACTTACCGCGGATTTACGAAAAGCCGTTCTAATTAATTTCTTACTAGAAGTGACAAGTGGCTTAGGTGAGCTGTTTGAGAGACAGAATGTCAAGTTAAGTTAGTTGCTAAGATGGCTGGATCCTAGATGTAATAATCTGACACCCTTAATCAAAGATATCAAAAAAAATAAAAACACACACACAGTAATCGGCTATATATATAGTACGTGTCAGGTGATCCACAACGGGAAACTCAACTAGGCGTTCAAAGTGAATACAGGAATAAGGCAAAGCTGGCTACCTATTATCACCTATGATATGCCTAATTGTGATGAACTGGATTATGCGTCAGACTGTGAGTTGAGAGTGAGAAAACAGGAATGCGTTGTACTGAACGATAAGAAGACTCTACAATATCTGGATTTCTCAGATGACATATGTCTACTGTCACACAAACTCGAAGACTTACAGACAAAAACCAACAAAATGACTGAAGAGGTACCAAAGACAGGACTGCAGGTGAACATAGAGAAGGTGGAGATGGAAGTGATGAAGACCACTAACGAACCGCAATAACAACCGGCAGCAATCACCATCAAAGGGAAAAATTTAACAGATGTTACCTCCTTCACTTATCGGGTCAGGAAAGATCGTTTTAACTACAGGCAGGACAGATGAAGATGTCAAAGCCAGTCAGAATTCAAAAGGCAAGATACACCGGTGAAGTTAAACTTTCGACACCACTAACTACCAATCAGCGAATTATCCAATGAGATTCACAAACGATGTCGAATTATCCAATGAGGTTCACGAACGCACTTCAATGTTGTATAGCGCTTGATTCATTTCTAATGCGTGACCTTACAACGCTATTGTTGCAATTCGAGGAGGTTAGCGTTTTCCAGTATTTCCTGGATTTGAGTTGCGCCGGAAAGAGCGAATTTGTTTGTGTGGTGGTATCATGACTTTAAAAAGCTATACCAAATCAACTGATGGGTTTGTTCATCGTTGTGCTATATGTTTGAAGCCTACTAACACTAGAGAGGGTATGCTGATAATTTAAATATTTCGTAGGAACTTTTTTCGCTAGGTCGCTTCTCTCCCTAAGGATAGCAGATAGAAAAGCAACTACTCTTATACCTATTATTACCAGAATTGTTAAGCGGGGGTCAATTATACACACCGACGAGTTGAAAGGCTACAATTCACTGTCATCTCTGGGATATATTCATCGTAGAGACAACCATTCAAGTGATTTTGTGGATCCCGTTACGAGGACACATACAAATTCTAATGAAGGATTTTGGGGCAGGTTGGAAAATAGGATAAGGGCTATAAATGTATCTCAAAAGGATCTCATTTATAGTCATTTGGATGAATATATGTACAGGATATGGTGTAACTTCTCCATTGACAGTCCCATGCTAAACAGGGAGATGTTTCTCTCACATGTTCGAGAAAGATATCCCATGTAACTTTTTTATTCTCTATTTTATGCTTTTTTCTACAAATATACATTTCCATTCATCATATATGCCTCTTTTATGTGACTGGTCCGTTCAAGGTCGTTTGCTAATTGGTTGTTAGTGGTGTCGAAAGTTTAACTTTGCCGATACACCTTCATCAACCTGAAACCAGTTTGAAAATCTTCTGCACTCAACCAGCATAAAGAACAGGACTCGGATTTTCAATACAGATATGAAGTCAGTCAGTCAGTCAGTCAGTCAGTCAGTGCTTTTATACGGGTCAGAAACTTGCACTGCATGTCACGAAAAGCATTTCCAACAGGTTGCTGACTTGCATCAACAGCTGCCTCCGATCTAATGGGCAGCCAGAAAGAATTAGCTACAAGAAACTTTGGCGATGAGCAAACCAATCAAGAGAAGATCGCTCAACAAATATGTAGAAGAAAATGGAGATGGATTGGGTATAAGCTAAGGAGGCCGTCGAATGAAATCACATGTCAGTTCCTCTAGTGGAATCCAAATGAGAAACGATGAGTGGGTCATTGATGCGAGAGTGACATGGAGGAGACTGTGTAGGGAAGAGATGAGAGAGTTTTGGACAATCGTGGGCTCAGCTGAAGAGGATGGCAGAAATAGAACCAAGTGGAAATGTGTTGTTCAAGCCCTATGTCCGTCCCACTTAGAACCCAAGGGAATTATAATATAAAGCATTAAGTTTGAATGAATGCAGTATAAATTTAATACTTACCATGGATTAAAGGATCTGATTGAAATTTCGATTTTAAACTATAAATATACCGGGAACAGAAATCTTTACAAAGTTCATTAACTTTATGCAGCTCCAATAAGTGTATACGCAACACTTGTATAGCTTTTACAATCTATAAAAATAATAATAATAGAAAATAAAATAAATATCAGAAGATAATTAAGTGGTATTTTAAGTTGTGATTTTTTAACAGAAATTAGGAAACAGAACAGATAAAAACAAATTACTTTCAAAATTTACGACTGTTTGGTCAAGGTATATCGCCTTCCTATTTGAACTGTGACCTTGCATTCAATGTTAAATGTTATGAACTGGTCGATAGGAGACTTTTATTTTATATGACAGTATATCAATATTGGTGAACATTGAGTGATCAGCATATGTTTTTCGAACGGATCTCTATTTTCTCAAGAGGCAACAATGGCAGACGTGGCCTAGGCATACTGCGTTTAGCAGAAGATTGAAGAAAGACTATTAAAAGTATTGTTGTGATTTATACTGATGTTTATTCATAGACTTTATGCTGCAGTAGCCCTGTGATCCTGATTGATCGTCGGTGAGGAAATAAGCAATCCTCGTATTGTAAATCTTTTTTCTGATATTTTCGAATCGGTTACCGCATACAGTATTCTGAGGCAGAGATTAGTTTTCTGGTAGTGGAACTAGCTAGGTTCAGGATCTTTATCGATCTGGACAACTGACACAGTATTTATCAGCAGATTGTATTTAAAAGCCTATAAAGGTCCTGATTTCGAACCCGTATCAGTTAGTCATAGGATTAATTAATCTACTCTGAAGGACACCGAAGATTTGCATGGTGTACTAGGTCATGTATATTTTTTATTGATGAGCTGAAGATGTTCTTGCAACTAATGGTATTCAGGACAAAATTTCTAGCAGGATTTTAACCATTGTGCTGAGTGTTAGCTGCAAATATTAGTTATCATTTAAGTATTTTACTTTTCACATAGCGCTTAGTTTCACATATACGTACTACCTATCTATAGAGGGAAGCAATGTAGTGAAAGAGATCTTGTCGTTAATCAGAGCTTTCTAGCTTTTCATGTGTCGAATTCCCTAATTAGCCAAAACCTAGACAACTACAGTACATGTACTAATCTTTCATCTAGTCATCTGGTCAAGGATAACATACCAGTAACGCATGCATCAACAACTCTGATAAGCTGTAGAATTTAAATGAAGTCAGAAATAGTGTCAGAAACTCTGATCACTTGGACTGTCAAACAATACGCATACTATCATCCTTTAATATCATAATGCGATGCATTGGATGCAGAACTCCATCCGGAACAAACTTGATTCAGGAAAGGCAAATCATGTGTTGATCAAATTGCAACTCTACACGTCATCAACGAAGAAAGCATAGATTAGCATTCAAACATATACCACAAATTCATCGACTTCGAAAAGGCCTTTGACAGACAACGTTGTCCGAAAAGTAATTTGGAAACTACTTCAACACTGCGGTGTGCAGCGCCAAAGTCTCTATCAAACTCATTCAAAAGCTGGTTATATGACATTGCCACGTGTCAAGTGATCTACAACAGAAAACTTAACGAGGCAACAGAAGTGGATACAGGAGAAAGACAAAGACACCCTTAGTATTCACAACTGTGGCAGACCGGATTCTGCTCCAGATTGTGGGCAGCAAGAAGACAGGAATACGCTGAACCAATAAGAAGACTCTAGAAGATCTGAACTTCGCGGACGATTTACGCCTAATGTCACATAAACTCGAAGACTTATAGGCAAATACCAACAAGTTGTCAGAAGAAACAGCTAACAAAGACGGGACTTAAAGTGGGCATAGAGAAGACGGTGATGATGAAGACACCCGATCACCGACAACAACGAACAACAATCACTACCAACGGAATGAATTTGAGAAAATCACTTCCTCCACTTATTCTGGCGTCATCATTCCAACTAGAGGCGGCATGGATGAAGATGTCAAAGCTAGTAAGTATTTGGAAAACAAGACATACCTTCATTACTCTCGAATCGGTGTTAAAATCTGCTGAACTAAGCAGTTTCACATTTATTGATAAGGATTTATTCACTATTGAGTGACATTTTGAATTAAATTTGGTTGATGATTTTTAGATAAATGCTGAAGTATTAACTATACAAGGAGATCCAATGATATGTATATTCATGAGCATTTATTCTGTATTCTGACATCACTTCACTGGGAACTTGTGTACACAGTACAGTTTGTCATGAAAAGACATCGTTCAGCCACACAGTCAAGCTCTGCAATCAGTAGGTTAATCACATAAACAGTCAGTTGGATTACATTTGTGCAAAAACAATTCCAATTATTATCATGGATGCAAATGTTCCTTACTGATTAATAATAATTCCAAAACTTCACGAAATGTAGATCAAATAAGGCTTTTTCTCTGAAATGACTCCTAACGACCAAGACTAAAATAAACAGTTGAATTCACAATACTGTCATTCCACCTAGTACATTGGCGACATAAGTCCACTTACTTATCAATAGATTTTGATCCCTATTTGGTGATTAAACAGCTATCTTAACTAATATTAAATGACCATTACCAAGTCTAACAGTTATTTTCTTTTTTTTATTGCTCCAGGTTCCCAGTGGAACATAGGGCTTCAAGTTAGAGGCTTGAAGTTTCTGTAGCAGTGGTGTTTATTTTTTTTACAGGATTAGGTTGCTAGCCTCATGCCCAACCTTTCCTCTTTACCAGTCTTATTACTGGCTTAGGAAGGTAAAGGAGTGCATCGGCGGGGGACCGAACCCCGGTCCACATGTGGCATGATCGGTGAGCATTCTACCACTGTGCCACCGACACAAAAAGTCTAAGGATCAATAGAAATGACAATGGCGGTAGATTGCTACCGTACGCATTAGTAACTTACTTTCATCTTAACAAGTGAAATAAAAGTTAATTTAATACTTTAAGACTCGTTGTACACTCACTCAGTTGACTTTTGGATCTTATGAAACTAGACATTTCAACACTTTCAAAGCAGTGTTTTACAACTCAAAGGTTTAGAAAGAATTATCAAGAGCTTTGACTTGTCATTAGTAAAGAAAAACCATGGAAAAGTATAAGAAATTTCTGAAAGTTCAATGACAAACCAGATAGTTTACACAAATTATAAAAAGATTGTGTGTCACCATGCTCAATCAACATCACTGTTAACATGTAGCTTTCGAATTCTGTAAAATCCTCCACAAGTTAGAATTTTAATTCGTCCACTACACCTTCTACTGGTAATTGGCTGTTTCCTCGACAGAAGCATCGATACTTACCAAAATGTGATTTAATATCTAATCCCTTCTTCACGGTATTTTTTTCAGTATAAAACAAGAAAAATATTAGCATATCTGTTGAAAACCAGGGAGTACTGGACGACTGTTTCGTCCTATTCCGGGACTCTTCAGCCTAACAAGGGTCGAATCATACGGTCAGTGCTCTTTTTTCTCTCTTTAAATAATAAATAAAACAAACGAAGAAGAAGAAGAGTTCAATACTTCTATGATGAAACCAAATGAATAAACTTACCAATTCATCTAACTCTGAATTGTTACTCAGAAATTGATATTTTCTTTCATCATTAAATGTACAATTTTGTTTTGATATATCAGATATATCATTTGTTAAGTGATCTGAATTATTATTATTATTTTTATCACTGCTCATTTTACTACATCCTGTTGATTTATGAAACGGAATGTCAGTATTGTCTAAAAGTTGTGAAGATGTTTCATTGTTTAATTTATTATGCGCTGAGAAACGTTCATTGTTATTTCGTGTATGCAGTGTTGAATTTGTTTTGTGATTAGCATTACTAGATGTTGTATTTGTAGTCCCTGTAGTTTTTGTAGTCATTGGAATATCAGCTGTTGTTAAAGCAGAAGTAGTCTCAATATTACGATTACCTAAATCTTCTGTACTTCCAAATTTTTCATTAATTTTGCTATTTTTCTCACGGCGATTACTTAATTTTAATGTAGTTGGTTTTAAATCATCAGTCTCTCCGACTTCTTCATCCTGTGGTTGTTGTTGTTGCTGTTGGTGTTGTTGTTCTATCCGACGTTGAATGTATGAAGTCAGCTCTGTAGTGAAAGTGTCCAGCGGAGGTGGTGAATCTGGTCTAGCTGTAGCTATTTCACATTGTTGTAATAACAAAGCCAACAGGGGATAAAGTGGATGACTACAAAAACAAGAATAGAAGTGAAAGAAAGTGTGAGTTAAATTCACTATTATTCAACAGTTCTTATTGATAATTATTTTATAAAACATTATTATTATTACTATTACTGTTTCCCTTAGTACCTGGAGGAACATAAGGATTCAGCCGAACGTCTCCATCGCGTTCGGTTCTTCACCAGCATTTTCACCTGGCTCCACATCTCTCCACATGCTTTCATCTCCTGTTCACATGACCTCCTCCATGTCACCCTCGCACTAACCACCATCTCGCCGTTTCCCATTCGGGTTCCACTCGAGAGAGAGAGAGAGAGCCTGGCATGTGATGTCACTCACTTGATGGTTTTTTTTCTCTGAGTATGCCCAAGCTAATCCACCTCCATTTCTTCCCGCATATTTGTTGCACACTTGGTTCCTGCTAGGTCAGCTCATTGCCAGAGATCTCTCCCTGTCGCTGATCTTTTCTGGCCATCTAATCTTCAGCGAAGTATTGAGTAAAGACGACTGTTAATGAAAGCTTCATACAGGACTATCGTAGTGATTATTCTCGATGGAAGACTCCTATCCAGGCATGTAGTAGACAAGTTGGGTAAATATATATTATGTATATATTTCTTCCTATAGTTTGTTGTATAACTTTTTCTTCGGTAAGTTAGATATCTGAAGTACTTTTTAAAAACCGTTTCAGTGTCGACTGGTTTCAGGTGAAAAAAAGATTTGTGGAAATCCCCGCCGAAGGAATATTTGAAAATTTTAATTGATTTCTAAGCGATGATCGCCTACAAGACATGATTACTAAAAATGATAGAGCTGTAACAATGTCATCTCCCAAGTGGGTCATATTCGCTGGTGATATTATACGATAGTTTCGTTATATCGCTAAATGATGGAGGCTATAACTATTGAATTTCAAACCAGTGATTCACCTCGTAATCCAAGATTTCTTGGTTTGATTGCTGAGAGCATACTTCTAAAGTTTCCTAAACTAGAACTAAATAGCTATCTGGTGTTCCCTTATTTTTAACGGTCAGCCGAATAAAAACATTCTCACTTGAGACATCTCCAACCGCCTTAGAGTAGGCTCTTTAGTGCTTATACTGAAAATTTCTTAGATTGGCTTTAAGCGGTTGATTCATCGCATAATAGAACAATATTTCAACATCGTTTTAGTATACTTCTCACAAGTTGGAACTATATATTAGATGTAGTGAGTGGATGATTTTGATTACCTCAAGCCGTAACCAGTAGGGTACAGAAGGTTGAAGGTGAGGTAATAACTCATCGAAGAAGACATTGTAAAGTGGTCGCGCAATATCATGAATTGGCCGAAGTTAGGATTCATAGGCTAGCCACTTGATCGTATCCTAATGGCTTAATGGTCTACGAGCTCACCTTGCAACCAGAATGTTCTGGGTTCGAAACTCCTGTGGTGGGTGCGTACTGTGTAGAGTCCCAAACTAGGACAAAACAGCTGTCCAGTACTTCCTGTTGGTTTTCCAATAGTTCTCTAACATATGTCAGCTCATGATGAAATCCTCCAACCAATTAAACAAAATCCCTACAAAAACCAATACCTGAAAACTGTTTTCCACACCCGATTCATCTGGCTACAAGGTATTTTTGGGCAAATTTATCATGAAGATTGTTGGAATCAAATATATTATATAGGTGTTCATTTAGAGGGTTCCTGAGGAAAGCACTTGGCTACAGAATAGGATAAATGAAGGATAAATTACTGACGATTAAAATGAAGTTAGCAGTGCACCATAAACTTGTCAAGTGAGTTTTAAACATGGTATATTAATTTACTACTTTTCTGTAAACAGCATTTGCTTAAAACACCCTTTGAAGTAACTCTTTACTAGCCATTTTCCCTATTCAAAAAACAGTTAGTTTTGAATAAACGATTTTATATACTTTTTTTAGGTACATTTTAGAACGGTCAGTAAATTCAAGTGAATAAAAATAGGCGAATTCTTGAATTATTTGCGTATTCCTTTCTTAGTCATAACGTAGAATAATGAAAGTAATCGGAAATTAGATGCTTGTCGTAAAATTATTGATTACCTACCTCCGAAAATTTGAAAATTTTCGTTGTATTATTTCAAAGGAGTAATCAGCATTTCATGTTAGGTCATTCAATCGAATATTAGTTAGATTAATTTCTGTCGTTGCTGTTAGAATTCACATTTTATATGCAGAGTTTGTAAATCAGGTGAGTAATCAATTTACACAGAAGGTGAGTTCTAATTAACCAACTCCTCAGTTTCATTTCAGTATTCTTTTCAAGTTGTTAGTTCTAACTGCTAATGAACTATTAAAGTCAAACGGCAACTACTCTATCTCACTTGTTTTAGTCTTATTCTAGCAACCTGAGGAGTATTCATTTAAATAGTTCTGGGGTTCAGGGCCTTCCAACTTCTGTGATCATGAATATTACTTATTAATAATCTGTTAGGCTCTTATAGTTCTCCTCAGTATAGTCTGAAAATATTTTTATTACTATACGTTCCGAGCGAAAAACAGGGATTTTAACTAGAGCTTTAAAATTTCTGTAGCAGAGATTTTTGAGGGTCGGTAGCCTTGTGTCCAACCTTCCCTCCTTACCTGGCTAAGCGAGGTAAAGGAGTGCATCCGTCAAGGATCGAATCCCGAACCATATGAGTCGTGGTTGGTGAGCGTTCTATTGATGAACTTCTGAAACCCAAAGTCTGGTAATATATTGACTTTTAATTCAAACAACATTTATAAACGAAGTGATAATTATGATATTACATTATTATTCCCTTTGGTTCTGAGTGAAAAACAGGGCTTCAGTCACACATCTCCACTTTGTTCTATTTCCTGCTCTCCTCTTCAGCTTAGTCTACGATTGTTCATAATTCCTCCTTTCCTCCTCGCTCGATCTCCTACATTTCACCCTCGCATCGACGACCCATTCGATGCTTCCCATTGGGATTCCACTCGAACAATAGTCTGGCGCGCGATGTCATTCAATAGCCTCTTCATTATTTATTATTAGTAGTTCCTTTAATTCCTAGAGGAACATAGGACTTCAGCTGCACATCTCCATTGCGTCCGGTTCTCTGCTAAAGTTTTCACCTGGCTTCAGGTCTGCCCACATCCTTTAGTCTCTTCTTCACATGACCTCCCCCATGTCATCCTCGCACTGATGACAAACTCATCGCTTCCCATTAGAGTTCCACTAGAGAGATGTGATGTCACTTGATGATTTGTTTTCTCAGAATATGGCCAATCCACCACCATTTTTTCCTGCCTATTTGTTTCACAATCGGTTCCTGCTCTGTTGGTTCGCTCATAGCCAGAGATCCCTGTTGCTGATCTTTTCTGGCCATCTGATCTTGAGTATTGAGCGAAGACAGCTGTTGATGAAGGTCTGTAGTTTGTTTGAGATGCTCTTTATGACGCGCCAAGTCTCTGATCCATATAGTAGCACCGACTGACTTCATACTGGAGTTGAAAATCCGGATCTTATTTCATTTTCATGCAGAGTGCCGTTGATCTCCACACAAACTTGAGAGTAATGAAAGCTCGCCTTGCTTTTCCGATTCTTTCTTTGATATCCTTATCAGTTCCGCCCACCTGCAGTTGAAACGATGGTTCCCAGATAGGTAGATAAAGGAGGTTGCTTGTTCCAGATTACTCCCATTTATGCTGATTGTTGTCTGTTGTTTTGGCTTTTGCTGTCAGTGCTAGCCAGGAATCTTCATCACCTCTGTTTTCTCTATGTTCACGTGAAGTCCTATCTTTGATGCTTCTTCTGCCAACTTGTTGCTTTTCACTTGCATATCTTCCAGTTTGTGGGAAATCAGATATATATATATATATATATATATATATAGTTGGTGAAGTCCAGATCCTCCAAGTTTTTGTGTGAGTCCATTTTATGCCTGTTTCCTCATTGCCCGTTGTCTGTCGCATTATCCACTCTACTACGATCAGGAAGATCATTGGCGATAATAGACAGCCTTGCCTCACTCCCGTCCTCACTTCGAAGGCTTCCGTAAGTTTCCGTTGTGGATTACTTAGCATGCAGCATTGTCGTACAACTGTTGGATGAGATGTATAATTGTTGGCGGCACCCCGTAGTAGCGAAGTGGTTGCCAAATCACCTCTCTATCAACGCTGTCCGCTGAAGGCCTTTTCAAACTCGATGAAGTTGAGATAAAGAGTTGATTGCCATTCCAAGCTTTGTTCACTAATGATCCGTAGTGTATAGTCTCCTCAATGTATGCATGATTAGATAAACAAAATACACAAGAATTACATAAAATTCAGACTTGTATATTTCATGACAAATCAAAACGAAATTCTTGTGTTTATTCACGGCAAATGTGACAGTGAAAATCCAGCAAGTCTAGGTATAACAGTCACATAGAAGAAATTAGTGCAAAAAGATAGCTGACTAACCTCATGATGAATTTTTTATCAGCTTCTAATTCTGGATCATTCTGTTGCAGTTGTAATGTGGTGACAATTGGAAAACTGAATAAATTAACAAAAGGACACATATTGTAATCAGTAATTAGTAAATATAGAATTCTAAAGGATTTTCTGAAAGCCCGTATAACAGCAGAAAACAACTTTATAAAGAACCGGTGCCTTAATAAATTATGAGACAGAAAAGTGAGACAACATCTGGTGTGGTTTTGTAACAACAGAAGACAAGAGCCAGGCAACAGATCGTTTACTAAGGAAATCAACACATATTTATAGATTTTCATGTACATATTATAGATTATTGTTAGCAGAAAAACCCAGTCTTCTGATTGCTGGTTGTTTCTCACAGAAAGTTAACCTTGCATTTCTTTGTGGCTGTTTCTTGAATGTCAGATCATCTATATGTTAACTGTTTCCGCCTACGCAAAGTCTTTGTTCTCATTTTTCTCACGACCAATATTTGGGACATAAACATTGACGTAAATTACTGTCCACCAATTTTGAATAGCAGCCAGGTCTCACCACGGTTTCACTCATCAATGA